TCGAATGATAGTGATCATGCAGTTGTATATAATCTTTAGTTCTTCACCGTATTCAAGTTACTAGGAGCATTGTAAGTAACAGTGAGTCTAGTCTGAAAGACCGTCACACACTTGTTACTTGTTAGTTACTTGTTCTATCCCTCCATAAATTATTTCTTTTCTATGTAATATGAATATTTTTGCCTGTGCCGTACTGAAGAATTGGTTCGGAGTCCTATGTTAGATGCCAAATTTTTTAGGTCTTCTAGATTTGATCTTCATGGCTTCTGTAGAAACTTTTCAGATTCTCTTAGTTTACGCCATTGATCAGGATTACAGTCAATCACTATCCAGATTGATTTAAAAGTGTGAATATTTTTAATAATTATAGATGTTGGGTTAAATAAAACTTACTTTAATGATTGATATAGATAAGTCTCTTTCTTTTATTGCAAATTACACAAAAGGAAACTTTTATTGTGCTAGACGTAGATGCATCAGGGACAAAACCCTCTGAACACTGTGTCACAAGTGATAGCTTCTGTTGTGTTTTAATAACTTAGAATTTATATCCTTTTGAGTTATCTTGAATTAAATGATCATACAAAAATTTGAATTTTTTTGACGTTATTCCACTTCTAAGTAGGCCTGACACTTACGAGAAATAGATCAAGAGTGTGTACCTGAATAAAATAGTCTGGATCTGTTTCTGTTGGTAGGTCATTTCTTTTTCGTGTTATTGACGTTACGCCAAGTATGTCTCATATTAAGAACATTATAAGATACAACCCACTCGATCAGCCATCCCATAAATCTATCAAATCCTCTGTACAAGGATGGATTTCCTGTTTGCACTAGTGTCTTGAGGGGTGAACCAAATATAATTATAGAAATATGGGAAATGGTAATATTCTAAACTCATGCATTGCGACATGATATCTGGCTGGAATATGAGAAGGGTGCTTTGGATGTCTGTTCTTGAGTTAGGCCAACTGTTGTGAACCTTCCACTATATTTAACTTTCAGTTTATCCGTTCAATCGGACGGTTTCCTAATTTTCTGTGTCTTTTTCTACTGGGCAACAGAGTATTAGGGTTAAGAATCAACCTAACTCCTTTTCCATAACCTTCTCCCTAGTAATGTGTATTTCCAATGTTATGAGTGGTTATTAATTTGTTTTTTTTTAGCTTATCATCTAAGCTTGTTGAATGATCTCAAAACTTCTTGTTGTATTCTTTCAACCGGTACTGTTTCATAGTTTATACTGCTATTTGACATAGTTTTCTCTTCCTTATTTGCAGGACATCAGAACAAGGTGCATCAGGTATGTGCAATTTTGTTTAGTTCTACTTCTCGTAAATAGACTTTACGCAAAATATTCTTAACATATCCTCTATCAACTTAGTGTTCGTAACAACTCAAAATTGTAGGTAACATTTCCCATCTTGTTATTGGTGGGTAAGATCTCAAATTGGTGTAGGTAACAAAATAAAAATAGTAGGCATTCATTGGAAGCCATGAATAACTGAAATTCTTAGGTGGAGATTTCCGATTGAACTGAATCCGAAAGAAAGTAAAGGCCTGGACAGTACAACATTTTTATCTTGAATGTAGACAAAAAGAGCTAAGTATTAGATGGCAATGTTTTGCTTTACCTTGCCAAATTACTCCTTGTAGCTCAAACTATCACTAAGCATTACTTCAAAGTCTACTTTTCTCTTCCTAAGCTAATATTCTTTTTCCGGAATGGACAGGTACAGCTAGTGCCACTTGTGCGTATGATGTCTTCTGTTTCGGAAAGGTTTTGCTAGAGTTAGTAACTGGCAAGCTGGGAATCAGTGCATCCAACGACGCCAGCATGAAGGAGTGGTTGGATGGTACATTAAAATACGTTAGTATATATGATAAAGAACTTGTCACAAACATAGTGGATCCTTCCCTAATCATAGATGAAGATTTATTAGAGGAAGTATGGGCGATGGCTATTGTTGCGAGATCGTGCCTCAACCCCAAGCCTTCGAGGAGACCGTTAATGAGATATATCCTTAAAGCTTTGGAAAATCCTTTGAAGGTAGTTAGGGAAGAACATACCAGCTCAGCAAGACTTAGAGCAACTTCATCAAGAAGTTCGTGGAACGCTGCGCTGTTTGGCAGCTGGCGTAGCTCCTCAGATGTAGCGGCGGTACCTGCAATCCCAGCATCTAAGTTGGAAGGAACAAGTAGTTTGAAGCAATCGGGAACAACAGGTTCTCAAGGAAGTGGTCATAATGGGGACAATGGTCATTCTTCATCAACTAGACGACAGTCGAAAGAGATTTTCCCTGAGCCGTTGGAAGAGCAGGATGTAGAGAGACCACATGAGGAGTAGAAGAGAGGTGATTGTGATTTATTCTTTGTTAATAATGCAGCGCGGTGGTCTGCATTCGGGTGCCTTCCCCTGTACATTCTCTGTTTTCGGAAGCCATTGTTTTTGTTACATTGGGTAATGGAAGTTGGCAAGAGATCCTTGTTCAAAGGAAACTTTGAAAATGGAGATATTGGGTTGTTTACCTGGGACATCAACATCAAATTGTTTATTGGGGTTTTGGGATTTTAAAGTTTTTTTCTTTTTTTTTTTGTATTTTCTGGGGATAGAGTTGGGACAACAGGATTTAGCAAGTGGTGGTTCTTTGTTTTGGGGGCTTATGTTTCGTTCCAATTCTTTCTTATAATTCTTACTCTTTTACTAATCTCTCCATGGAATGTAAATTATACAGAATCTTTCATTTTCCAAATGGAGGAGAGAAAAAAAGCATTTCATTGATCTTTTCTTCTTTGTTGCTGAACTGTTTTGCTTCTTAGAGTTGGAAGTCAAATTATGCCAACTTAGTTCAAACATTCCGACACAACGGTTCTGGTCTACCATTCTTTTGTTAGTTTGGCAGGTAGTTTTGCACCCAAATGTGTAGTCTAGCCGTAGCCGAGGGTCTATTGGAAACAAATTCTCTATTTTTACAGGGTAGGGGTAAGGTCTGGGTACTCACTGTCCTCCCCAGAGAGTCTATTGTAAACAAACTCTCTATCTTTATAGGGTAGGGGTAAGGTCTGGGTACTCACTGTCCTCCCCAGATCCCACCGTGTGGGATAATACTAGATATGTTATTGTTGTTGTGTAGTCTAGCCGCCAATAAAGCGAGTAAAAATAATGGGAGATCTGTTCTCAAATCCAAACAAGAAAAATAGACAAATGTGTACTCTAGCCGTAGCCGAGGGTCTATTGGAAACAAATTCTCTATCTTTGCAGGGTAGGGGTAAGGTCTGGGTACTCACTGTCCTCCCCAGAGAGTCTATTATAAACAAACTCTCTATCTTTACAGGGCAGGGGTAAGGTCTGGGTACTCACTGTCCTCCCCAGATCCCACCGTGTGGGATAATACTAGATATGCCGCCAATAAAGCGAGTAAAAATAATGGGAGATCTGTTCTCAAATCCAAACAAGAAAAATAGATGCTACGTAACTTCTTTTCATCTACCTAAGTATTGGTAAATAGAGTTACAAACAAAAAGGTCCCACCGAGATTTGAACTCGGGTTACTGGATTCAGAGTCCAATGTCCTGACCACTAGACCATGGGACCACACTGTGTTAGCTGCTTCTCGCAATCCTTAGTTTTATTAAATGTTTCATGGAAGTTCTTTAACTACACCCACTAAGAAAAGAAAACTAGGTCGTTCAATTATATTTTGCAAGCTCAATAAACCCCGTCCATTTCTGATGTCCTATTATATCATTGACTTGTAATCAAGTTGTTAATCGAGCTTAAAGATTTTAACGTCCGAATGATTTTTCCATTTTCTTTATCAATTTTTGTTTAGAAAGAAAAAATCAAAGGTTCACATGCATTTGTTGCGAGTTTATACAGTGATTAACCACTTACCTTAGTGTGATTGGAATTACCAATCCACAGGTTGGAGTTGGAGAAACCAAGAGTAAGTGTTAAACTGAAAACCAAGAGCAGCATAGCTACTCTTGTGATAGCCATAAATAGTGTCAATACTAAATACTGTTGCTGAATCGTAGTCTCCACTTCACCATTGACCCAGCACTTCCACCAACTTTAATGTATTAAAGAGAAAAATGAATGGTATTGAAAGTTTTGGGCAGAGTGTTACTGCTATTAAAGACTTTGGCCAAAAACCATCTGTAGACGTCAGAAATTGATGTTGCCTATGCTAAGGTTTGTTGAAATTTTTCCAGACAGTTGGACCATAAATCATAAATTATCCTTTTTAATTTTGGCTGGTGTCCTTATTTTTTACCTGAGTATTGGAGCACCTCATAGACAGCTAATTGAATGCAAGTCTTACAACATCATGGTTTGTAGAGATATGCAGAGATTTCCAGACCAGCAGACAAGGAAAAAGAAATTCTGCACTCATAAATTTGGAGTGGGGCTGAATATAGCTATTGTCAGATCAAGGGGCTGAATGTGTAAACACATTTCAGAATGTACACTGAAACAAGATGTCATTCTAAACTTTTTTCCAATAACAATGATTTTCTGGATCACCTTAGGCACACATCTTGACTATTCCACTAAATACCTGCTACTTCTCACCCGTATAGGTACGGATAACTTTGCTAACTATAATTGTTTTTGTCTCTTTTAGGATTTCAACCATGTTTTCTCATGATTCTCACTCGCTTCGATGACCGCTAAGCCACACCCTTGGTACAATCACTTGCTAACCTATCCCTTCCTAAATGATCATTCTTAGAGAAAACTTATTATCTTGAATTCGGAGAAAACTTATTATCTTGAATTCAACGCCTTGCCAACAGAAATTAGCTCAATGATTAATAACAAGCATCTAATGACACTTTTGTCCAAGCAGGAAACCTGGAACCTGCATCTGTTTAACATTTACCAGCAATTCTTTGGGAAAATGATATAAACAAGTTTTGCGAATGACCAGCCTGGAGCTATGTGATTCTATACACAGGTGCAACACTTCCTTAGTCAAAATTGTGGACAGTTGAGCTAGAACGAAAACTATTGTTGGATTGGTGTCATTAGCTTGACTAGCATTCACTCAAAGAAATGAGAAAGTTGAGAGAACAATATTCTCAATTCATCAGAAACAATTCCTTCCACTTAGCTCACCAGAATCACTAACAATATCAATAAAAGTCATAAATTTCTTCCTCCAATTTTCTATCTGGAGATTTTCATTAAATGCAAGCTTACCCTCTTTCTCTCAAAACTAGAAGGTAGCAGCACAAACTTTAAACAAGCTAAAGAAACACCGTCTTAGAGAACACCTGTTAAGGAATCATAAGTTTGGCAATAGTATACTTGCTATTCTTCTTATCCAAAATGGCTGCATGTGCTCGATTTAAATAACTCATCAGCCTGCAGCACGAGCACTGTCAGTACCATATGCTAATTGAGATTACAATGTGCATCTTAGAAAAGCTATATGGTGTTTTGGCATCTTCAGGATGATTGAAACCACATTCATAGGCTGAATTTTTTTCAGATAATTCAAACAACTAGAAGAAATGGAAAAGGAAGATCGACTCTAATTTACGAAACTAGTGGACTCATCACTAGCTGACATGATATGCTAATTAAAACGCATAGAATTGAATAAAAAGGGCAGCCCAGTGCACGAAGCATCACGTATTCACGATGGGTCCGGGGAAGGGCGCACCCTAAGGGATTTGATGTAGGCAGCCTACCCTAATGCAAGCATCAGCGGAAGCCACGGCTCGAACCCGTAACCTGTAGGTCACACAGAGATAACTTTAATGTTGCTCCAAGGCTCCCCTTGAAAAGGCATAGAATTGAATACTCTAAAGAATTTAATTGAATGTTCTAAAATGTTTAATTTCCTGAAACTATTTATTGTAAGAAAAAGAATAAAGAAAAAAATATTTAGTTTGTTGAAACTAGGGTAAAGGAAGAAGGATGCGTGCAGGCAAAGCATCGAAAAGTATGCTAAGTCCTATAAAAGTTGTTTATTTTTGGGCAATGTGTCATTTAGCAATTGGCTTCATATTGTTTATACGCACATAGCCAGAGACCAAAACCATGTTCTGCTCAAATGGCTCGCCATCATGATTTAAATGTCAAATGCCAGAAATTCCAAATCAAACCATAAGAAGAATAATAATCTTGTGCTAACATCTACAAGGTCTCGGGACAGATTTCCCTTCCCCAAAATAAGCAAAAAGGAAATCAAAGAGGCACTTCAAACTTATTAATCAACAAAAAATCATCCGACCATAATGATTTGACATAGTGCACATGCCCTTGGGGAGTCTCATTTTCATGTACATGTCAATTTGGTGATGCATGCCACAATGTAACAGATACAACTAGTTAAAAGAAATATCCTTATAGGCACCAAAACACTTTCTTATATTCACTTCAAGTTACTTCCATTTTTCCTTTTTCCTCCAAATGGGATAGAACTTAGAACGTCACAACTCACAACTCCATCGAGAAACGATGAACAGTTCAACTTGCAACCAATGTAGCTCTCTGAAAAATCTCGTGTGGAAATTCAAGGACCAAAAAGTAAAGTTCAACAACTTGGTTGACAAATCCTGCCCAGCTCATGTTCAACCACTACTGGCTGACTGATTATATGAATTGTCCTACAGTACTTACCACAGTCAAACGTGTGCTATCGACCTTGCCAGCCACTTATTGATGGAACTCCCATGAATGAATTTGCAGCCCTTTCCATTCTGAACAAGAAAAAACTGTTAGCATCTTGACCTATTTCTGGTGATTAATAAACAAAAGAAAGATAATGGGTGTAGAAAGTACTTAGAGATTTCTTCAACTGCCTTCACCACTTCTGAAGAATTTGTCTCAAGAACTTGACCTCCCAAAATAATCTCATCTAATATAGCATGCACCTAAAAAGCCTCAATACATCAGCAAACTCTCAAACATGAAAATTGAAGTTACCGAAGTTAGGATGTCAACGCAAATCAGAACTTATTGACAGGCCAATCTCTTTTTTGTTCTTGGATAAGTTACAACTTATTCCTAAGAAGAGTAGTAGTAGTACTCAAATTCATAAAGTAAAACCTATCAACTGACTTCAAAAGAAGTAAACTCCATGTCTATGTTTCACCACCCATCAGTTCTTATATTTCAAATCCTCGGTGCATCATAAAATTAACTTGCTGTAAATCTGATAAACTTAAGCATCCCTTCGTTTCCAGAAGGGCCCACTTACTACTCATCATTTAGCCACGCTTCTTAATCAATGTTATTTTAGGGACAGTTGACTTAGTCCAGTTGAGATTTTTGGCAATTAAGACAGCTCCCGAGGTCTTAAATATTAGGACACCCGAAGTTTTAGTGCAAGTAACAAACTAAATCACAAGTTTCTCATCATTGATTATGTCAAATGCAAATAAGACAGTTGTTCTCTGATATAAAACCCAAAGGAATCAGATCTCAGAACAACTACATGCCTTTAAATGATACATGCTTTGTGATACTAAAACAAAGAGAGAAGACTGACCTTATTAAAATTGAATACTATATCAAGTTCACGTACATTGCTGAAACACTTGTCCATTGCCTCGACAAAAACTGAAATTGTCAACAACATATCAAGGTAGTAAATCTTGGAGACCGACCATATGTGCATTTAAGTAAAAAGCCAATGCTTGGAATATGTCCCGGTCTTCTAAACCAGGTTGTTTAATCGTGTTCAGGTCTTCCATCATAAGACAATGCAAATGCACACACTTATTAATGCAGCATTAATGCAGACTCCCAAAACATTAATGCAGCACTCTGTCCAAATTTTAGATCTTGTTGAAAATTGGTACTGCATAAGCACTTAAACAGACATGGATCTCAGACCGCCATAATATATAAAATGCTGAAAGTTACATATTTCTTCTCATATCCCATGTTTATACTATTTTAGTAAGGGAGACATGTTTGCTAAAGTTTCTTTACAGCAAGTAGCACTTTTATTCGATTGGTATTTTGCAGCCAGCCGAAACAAGTAAGAAATCATTTTAAAGCCTCAGGACAAGTTTGTTCCCTCTCAAGAGTTCCGTGCCTGAACTATCAATACAAAGGAAGAAAAGCAAAAAAAAAAAAAACTTCAAAAATCTATCAAAGAAGAGAGATTTAGCTCTTCGAATAACTTAAATATAATTCCTCCTTGGATAATGAATACTCTAACTTCCGCGGTTCTTCAATTAAACAATCTATTTTACAAAAAGATAACTTCAAAGTTAAAGGTATCTGAATCGGTATGACCAGAGCCTGAGTATATACCTTGCATGAGATCAAGCATTGCAAGCTCATTTTCGGAGCTATCAAATATGAATACAATATGTAGTGTGGCATAAGTCTTGTATACAAGCCGAGTATCCTGCATGTGAGGAGGCACAATATGTGAATATTTCTAGGTTTTTCTTATGTTTTACATGTATTTTGAGGGATAATAAATACAATAAAGAAACCAAACTCAGAGAGATACAGAGAGAGTAGACAGGAAAAACACATACTGATCCAAAGAGGGAATCAACCTTGACGAAGTTGCTTACATTCTCTGCTCTACTGCTTAAAACTGCACTTTAACACAAAATTGTCACAACAAATGATTCACAAAATATGAACAGTGTACAAATCACCACAGAAAGAAAAGAAAAATATGAAACTGGCAGTGCATTAAATCATTTCTTTAACCCACCACAGTAAAAATAAAATAGTTTATTATGGATTAGATTTACAACCCAATCATTAGCAAAATATGTATCAAGATCCAAAAATTCCATCTTTATTCTTAAACAAAAAAAGAAATACATACTAAAACAAAACGAAGAAAAAAAAAATGTAAGCACAACCTCCGAAAATTCTTCGAATAAGCTCTTGTTGTTTCTCTGCAGGCTAACCTTACATTTCAAGTAACAATTGATTTAAGAAAGAAGTAAATTCACAAAATAAAAAAATAAAAAAGGACCTTAATATATTGTTCTTTTTTTTTAAAGTAAAAGGGTTAAGGGAGACTGACATGATAATCGTAGAATTTGACAAGACGAGGCTTGCCCTTATCGTTCATTACGATTACTCCCTTTATCATCCTTTAATTGATTCCAATTTTCAACTGATCGTCTCCTCTGTGACTTGCTTCTAAATCTTATGTCTGGTGCTCTTTAAAGTTTTGGTTATTACAGTCACACCCCCAAATTTGGTGAAACGCATATTCAAGCACCAGTTTCTTTTTAGCGTTGCCCAATTGAGTTTTTATGTTTTCTTATTAATTACATGTAACAAAAATATTTCCTATACCTTTCTTTAACATTTCTACCCTGATTTTCTAAATTTGATATGTATTTGAAGTTGTCATGGTTTGGCATTTGGAAGCCTTTTTTGTATTTCAGAAAAGGGTCAAAAATACTCCTAATATACTAAAAATAGCTTACAAATGTCCTTCGTTAACCTTTTGATCTAAAAATACCCTTAACGTTTTATTTTTGGCTCACATATACATATACCCTTGAAACTAATAGAACGTAGATGGTAAATTTGGGCACTTTAGAATATTCATGTGACATTTTTTAAGCTTGCCACGTGTATTTCTTGTAAACAAAATTAAAGCCCACCCATTTTCTTATAACCCAACCCACCGAAGTCCCTATAACCCGTTAGCGGCTTCCCTCTTTTTCCAGAATTTATTTCAATAATGGAGATAAGCAAAATAGACCCATCTCATTCTTCTCCTTCTCCCCGTCAGATAACCATAAATTTTCTCTTCTTCTTTTTTTTTTTTTCATTCTATCCATATATAATCAGTAAAAAAAAGATTCTAAGAAAAAGAAGAAGAATCAGTAGTAGAAGAAGGATAAGATGAAGCTATGGGACAGGTGAAGAAGAACTAGAAATGAAAGCTGAAGAAGTGGAAAAAGAAATATCCGATAGAACTCTTTAAATTGAGATGTTTTGAGAGATCTGAGAAACTGTTGAAAAGATTCCAGTTCAATTCAATAATTTTTCAGTTACAGATGACCATTTTATTTTATTTTACAGATGACAATGAAAGCTGTTGAGAGATCCGATTTACAATTTTATTTTTATAACAATTCAACTTCATCTTCATGTTTCAAGATCAAATCTATAAAATCAATCTAAAACGACTATGCGATTCACAAATAAATAAGCAAAATCTTCATCCTCCTAATCCCATATCCAACCGAAAGAAAGACTATGGCGGCAAATATAATTAGGATGGAAGACATCGGAAATAATGGGGAGAGAACTGGTGTTTGAAGAAAGGAAGTTTTTGTTTGAAGAGAAAAAATTAGGCAAAATACATAATTTAGCACCTTAATTATGAATCAAATCTCTGTTACACACTTTTTGTGGACAAAAATAACTTTACACATTCAACCTTTTCGGAGTATATTCAATACACACTACTTTTATATTTAAGCATCTCAGAAAAAGAGGCCTGTCACGCACCAATAATGTAGTACCACGTGTCATTAATTTTGAAATAAAATAAATTAATGTGAAATTACAAATATACCCCTAAACTATTCTCCCTTCCATCCCTTTCTCTTCTGCACCGAATCTCCATTGATGCCGACACCATAAAAAATCCACAACTATCACCTTTCAATTATAAAGCAAAATTAGGAACTCAAATACATTAATCACGAGTTTGTGAGTCCAGATTCAAATCTAACGGCATCTCAAAACTCCATTAAAGTTAGTTATAGCCAAATCCATGGTTGCTCGATTCACGGTCATCTTCTCCGATAAAATAAAAGACTAGGTATTTTGACAATTGATTATGGCCAGAATCTGTGGCATTATTCAGTGCAAATAAGCAACCAAAGTGATGAAAGCGCAAGCAACAAACAACAACTTTATAAAAATGGCATGTAAATAACAAATAAAATCAGTTAATTCTCGGCATCTTTTGGCTCATCTCTAATATCCCTCAACACCAAATTAATATTCTACCACATTAAATTTGTGTCTTAATTTGTTACTACTTAATTATGATTCAAACCCAGATCTATAGAATTCTCTTAGATATAGATTTCTTTTAACTTTCTTTATTTCTTCCAAAGCCCTTTTATATTATTGTTATTCTTAAAATGGTGGACAGAGAAGATGGTGGAAAAGGGGTGGGGAAGAAGATGAAAATGGGAAAGGAGGAAGGTCAGCAACAAATTGATAAGGGCGGGGTTCTGGGGAAGAAGAACAGGGATGGGTGAGTTAAAGTGAAGGGAAACAAAATAATTTTAAAAAGCAAAAATTTAAAATTTTAACACGTGTCCTCTAACTAAGAATTGGGATAAAAATTTCTACAGTTTAACGCACTTATAATTTTTGTTAAACACGCGCGTGACACGTAGCAAAAGTAGTGTGTATTAGACATACTCTGGAAATGTTGAGTATATAAAGTTATTTTCGTCCACAAAAAGTATATAATAGGGATTTGGTTCATAATTAAGGTGCTAGCTTATGTATTTTGCCAAAAAATTAAGAATTTACTAAAAGGATCAAAAAAATTCTTATTTGTGTTTGAGTTGGCAAGAATACTATTGAGTATTTTAGATGATAAAAAATGAATCCAAGTATAATAAAATGGGTGGATGATAGGGACTCAGATGAGTTGGGTTATAAGATTATGGGTGGATTTTAATTTTATTTATAAGAAATACACGTGGCAAGCTTAAAAATGCCACATGGATATTTTAAAAGGTCAAAATTTATCATTCATGTTTTGTTAGTTTCAAGGGTATATGTAAGTCAAAAATGAAACGCTAAGAGTATTTTTAGACCAAAAGGTTAATTGAGGGCATTTGTGATCCATTTTCACTACGTGATGGGCATTTTTGGCCATTTATGTAGTATAAATTATAAAGTGATTATGTAGTATAAATTATAAAGTGAATATGTAATAGTACACCTAAATAAAAAGTATTTAGTTGTCAAAAACTTAATACTCCCTTTAATTTAATAATTAATAATTTCACCAACTACAACTAAAACAGATCATATGATTTTGCTAGTCTAATTCGAGAATATTGGAATATAATGTACAACGAAATAAAATTTACACTACCACATATATACTATTTATATTCAATAATTGGTTTTAGCATCTTTATCATTTTGTTTTATTTTGTGTTGTACTTTTTTTATTTGTTAAAAAAGGAATAACATATTTTTATATTAGAAAAGTCGTAACTTTAAATTTTTTATTTAATTTTAATCTTATTAATATGCTCTTATAGCCATAAAAACTGCATGGCATGTTAAGTATCCTATGAAATGGAGAAAGTAATTTTGTTTCAAATGCATCCAGTGGAAATACTAGTATATGGTTGGTAAAGTGGTAAATACTCGTTTCTTCATAGTAAAAAAATATTAAATCGCATAATTATTAAGGGAATAATTTGAAAAGCCTAATGGTTCCAAGTGCAAATTATATTGGTTTCTCGTACTCAAGTATAGTTTTGACTAACTTCTTGGGTTTTAGTGAAAAATCAAAACCCCTTCTTCTTTTCACTACTACTAGTATTAGCTTAGCTTAGAACTATAACGAGATATTTACAGAGCTTTATCCAAATTCGAATTTCCTCCATTGAAGATGCTTTGTGAGCTTCATCACCATCATTTCTCTTTCACTCCACAATCCATAAAACAACATCAAACTACTCTACACACCATTATACACTTCTCTCCAAAAAAACATCGTCTTTTTCCCATTTTTTCCACCCACCACCCCAACCAGCAACCCCACCACCTTAAAAACCAAGAATCTGATACCAACACCACCACTACCTTAAATAATGAAAAGGGTGTCACTCGAAAACACAATTCAAAATCCTCAGCTGTACTCCTCCGTTACCTCTCATCAAATGATAATAAACCGGAAGCATACCAAGAACCGGTTCCCGGTTCAGCTGAACCGGAGAAACAAGAATGTGCTGTACTAGAAGAAGATAAAGAGAAGGTTCTAGAAATGTCATTAATAAGGAAAAGAACCCCTCAGTTTCCAGGTTCTATTTATGTTCAATCAAATATCTACTCTTTGTTTGATCCTAAAAAAGGAAGTCGCTTTAATGATGATGATGATGATGATGAGATGTTAATTAAGGCACTTGAGATAAGGAGGAAAGTGACAGTTGAGATTTTTAAAGAAGCAATGAGAAAAGGCAGATTTGGGATTACATATTCGACCAATTTGGTTTCATATTTGGATGATTTTATAGATTATGTGATGATTCAAGCTGCTTCTATGAAACAAATGCCTGAGTTCTTGGATTCGTCGTTCAATGTTCGTGCTAGAGCCTTCATAGATGAGTCTGGCATCGTGCCAATTGTGAGGTACAACAGATTATGCACATTGAATTTTGACTTCACACATTTTGCTCATTGAGCTCAATAATAAAAACTAATCCTTGCATTATTTGCATCGTAAATACGACGTTTGGCGTCTGGTATAAACCTCTGCAGTACTAATACAACTTTTGTTTTACGTTACAAGAATCTATATATAACTAGGGATAGAATATAGAATAAGAACATGTGTCATGAGAATATTAGGAAAGGTTAGTTTCTTGACTTAAGTATCACAATCTCTGTATGACAATTCATGTATTATTATTCATCAAATAGCAATTTCATGCATTATTTACCGTGTAAGGATCCATGTATTACAAACATTGCATAACTAGTGTGTGAATCAAACTACTCCTACATATCTTGCAGGTGGTTGAAACACAATGCATTGTCATATCCGCAAATTGCGAACCTCATTTGCAAGTCCAGAGGAGATCTTGAATCCATAAGACGTTTGGCTGAGTGGTTGAAGTCGATTCATGTGAAGGGAAGATTTATTGGGCTTGTAATGATTAGAACTAAGGAGAATGTATTAGGTCGGAGCTTGGAAGAATTGGATGAGATCGTCGAGTATTTGGAGAACAAGGGAGTGAAGAGAGATTGGATAGGATATATTGTAGGCCGATGTCCTGAAATTTTGTCCTTCACCACCGAAGAACTAGAGTGTCGTACACAGTTCTATTTTGATATGGGAATGGATGAGAAGGATTTTGGAACAATGGTTTTTGATTATCCTAAGGTGCTTGGCTACTTCTCTATGGAAGAGATGAACCAAAAGGTGTCTACTTTAACTCATTTCTTCATAATATTCATTAGATATATGTGCTCTCTTGTGTTGTTTTTCCCTTTTGTGGTGTAAAATGAACTGAAGAATCATCTAGTTAATGTCTACGGCATGTCACTTTGGTGATTTAAATTTTAGACTGAAAGCTTATATTCCAATTTTTTCTTGGTGAAACATGACTATACATTCAGGTTGCATATCTTAAGGAGTTTGGCCTCAGCAATGAAGATGTTGGAAGATTATTAGCTTTTAAACCGCATTTGATGGGTTGTGGTATTGAAGAAAAGTTCAAGCCTCTTGTCAAGTACTTTTATTACCTAGGGATTTCAAAAGACGGTATGAGAAGAATTCTAGTTACCAGACCGGTGCTATTCTGTGTTGATTTCGAGAACACCATTGTCACTAAGGTATATTATTACTTTTGGCTTGTGTGAAACTACATTAGGTGTTGGGCCATCAACATACAAGTACTTAAACCTCAATCTATGAGGCAACTCGGTCTTTTCGCAATAATTTGAAGTTTTTGTTGACAACTCAAACTTCTGCAGTGCATTTTATCCCTTCGAATCAGAACGATATAACTAGAATTTCTTTTTTGCTTTAAGATATCTCCTTTCCCTTTTTGTTTTCCTTGCTAATGACTTACCTTCTCAATTGCTGAAGGTTCAATTCTTACGAGACATAGGTGTCCAACAAGATGCTATTGGCAATGTGCTAGTCAGGTTTCCCAGGTTACTCACTTTCAGCCTCTACAAGAAGATACGCCCAGTGGTCCGTTCATATCCCTTTTCTGACTGTTTATATTTCATCTGAATTGTCTAAACAATGTTGGCCCTCTGTCGTTCTAGTAAATATTTGGTGATAGTGCCATGCTTATAATGGATCACATGAAGAACCTAAGCCGTGATTTAGGAATCAAATCAGAGCGACTATACAATTCTATCTCGTTAATGCTGTGTTGTTGGTTACATCTGTTTACGGTCTGCCTCCTACTTAAAGAGTCGGAGCACAACTGATATTGGATTGGCTATCTTATAGGTCATATTCCTTTTGACAAAAGCTGGTGTCTCCCAGAAAAATATTGGAAAGGTGATAGCTCTAGGACCAGAGCTTCTAGGATGCAGCATTGCCAATAAATTGGATCACAATGTGAAGTATTTTCTTTCCCTGGGTATAACTCTCAGACAATTAGGTGAAATGGTTGCTGATTTTCCCATGCTGCTAACATACAATATAGACGTCCTTCGCCCCAAGTATCGTTATTTGCGAAGGATGATGGTTCGGCCTTTGCAGGATCTTATTGAATTCCCAAGGTATTTGGCATATGCCATCAACAGAAGTGTCCTTCCAACTTTGTTTTTTTTTTTTTTAACGATAAAGTGCAGTATGATATTCCGTTATTCTGCTGAAAGTGACATCTATTTTGCAGGTTTTTCAGCTATTCACTCGACGAAAGAATAGTTCCTAGACACAAGATTATGGTGGAGAGTCGTATAAACTTCAAGCTTCGGTATATGTTGGCAAGCACAGATGATGAATTTAAACAGAGGGTTCAGGCTGCTGTTGAAAGACGCTTAAGATTTGAATCCGGCGTCATATATGATAAGGAGGCAGATACTCAAATTGATTGCTCCATCGAAAAGTCGCCTTTTGATTTTCAAACAGCTGAGATACTAGAAGAAAACACAGATCTCTCATCTGATTACAAAGATTTACCTACTGCACATATTCTGAATTCTGCATAACATCAGAAAATAGTATATAGAAAAGTGACATAAAATTGTGAATCTTACTCTTTTTTTTCTTTTTTTTCCTATTTGGTAGTTTAATAGGATAATATTCCTCAGCACCTGCCCTTGAAAGATTTGGAGCTAATATCACTAGATAAACAGATTAACTACTTCTGACAATTTAAGCCTAACATTTAAGTTGGAATATTAGAAACTTACAAAGTTTTCACTGCATCTAGGTAGGTTGCAGGTAATTCGTGTGTGCTACTTACCAAGAGAACTGCATCAATGCAAAGCTTTTAGTTGTATCTGTTATTTGTATCAGTTTTGCCTTTACTCTTATAGTTGGACGAACAAATAAAAGTAACTATATGTTTGCTGCATAAAAGAGTTTGCAAGAAGTAGATCTGCGAGCTATCATATGTTAACCCGCAATCTAAAGCAACCTCGGATTGCACAAAGTTTGCTAATCTGGTTCAAATTCATGATTGTACAAGCAAGTATTATGAGGGATTAAATGAGTCAAAATCCAGTGACAGCATCAAACTTGAATACAACTTCCATCCATTTGAAATATAATCTTCACATTTGTATCAACAATCTCAACTGTATGTAGAAAATTGTCCATCTACAATAAATTCCGGTGAAAGTTGTCCCACTGTAAAACAAAAAATGACCTCAACTAGCTGGCCCTGCAGAAAAAATCTATCTCAAAACAATCAAGAATGTCGACGCGTGCTAGAATGGACCCACAAGCCGGGAATGGTATGAGTTACTGAAGTCCAAGCCGGCATATTGGATTCTTTTTTAGTTCAGCTAGATCCACCTGCAAAAACCAACAGGAAGGTCAAACATTGGCATTGCCGAGAAATCATACCAAAATATATAGTTGATTATTTGCCAATTATACCTTGGGACCAAAAAGATCTCTGATGTTGTCATATCCGTAGAGAATCATGGTAGGCCTGGTGCACGAATACAAGCAAAATAAGCTTCCATGAAGCATGTGGACATAAGTTTATCTACATGGAATGAGCAATATAAACAGAGCATGTATAGCATAAGTCATAACTAAGAGTAGATCTTACGCCACCGGTCAGGTTTTTCAAATTGTAGATACATCCTTGTCAACTGATCAACCGACATGCAAGCAGAAAACTTTTATCCAAACCAACAAAGAGACCATCTACCCTGCCTCATGATTACTCAACTACGACCAGCTAATCAGGGTACTATAAAACTACCAACCCGTAGTTGTTCCTTTTCTCTCTCCCCCTTCTTCCCTGCCCCCCCTTCTCTTTCCATCTGAAGACATCACCAAGACCTGCAAACGACTGCAGCAACTACACCAAAGCCTCAACTAGCACGAATCATGCCAAGAATTGCATTCAGATACTATTGCACGCATTGCATGAGAGCACCTTAGTCATTGAGGCTTTGAAGTGTTCAGCAGTAAATAATTTGAGTACCACTAAAACCAAACTGACACCTTCTTTTTCTCTTGGGACCCCCTTCCGTTATGCCACAAAACTCTCCAACTTGCTTATTAAACATGTAAATAATCTAAGGTTCAGTAAAAATGCAGGGTAAGGTTGCATACAATAGACCCTTGTAGTTCGGCTCTTCCCCCGACCCCGTGCATAACGGGAGCTTAGTGCACCGGGCTGCCCTTTTTTCAGTAAACAATTTGAGTATCATTAAAACCAAACTGACACCTTCTTTTACTCTTGGGACCCACTTCCGTTATGCCACAAATCTCTCCAACTACATATTTCTTGTTATCCAAGAAAATTAAACTTTGCAATCTTTCTTGCTACAGTCAATGCTTTCAGGTAATATGACTAAAGAAAACAACGAATGCAAGTGTTGTTTTACTATAGCTATCAGTTTTCCTGACGGGTTAATTATTAATAAGTTCAAACATGAAACAACTCACAACTCCATCAACACCACTCAGCAATATAAGTACACAGTTAATTAAAATTTATAAATAAGAACATGATGCTGCTAACAGTTTGTGTACCTCTCAAGGGAAAGGCCCCAGGCAATAACCCGAACATCTTCTGGAAGCCCCATGGGAAGCAGCATTTCAGGCCTAAACATACCAGAATTGCCAACTTCTATCCATTTCTGTAAACCTTCATGGTAGCTGACAAAACAAAAGAAAATGAAATTAATGCTGAGTTGAAAATTTGTGCATTCGCGTCACGTATACTACTACAAACCTGAAAATTTCCATGCTGGGCTCAGTATAGGGATTATAAGCAGGTTTGAACCGAAGCTTGGACATTCCTGTAATTAGGAAAAAGAAAACAAACGTTAAATTAGCCCTCTAAAAGTTAAAAAGTCATGTAATTGAGTTGGACAAGATATTGCTGCAAGCTATATCTTTTGTGTGAAACCCAAAACTTGATGCAGACATTTCTGTACCAAAAATTGAACACAAGCAAGAATACAGCATAGTGTTGATTGGTACCTAGACGAGAAAAGAAGTCATGAAGAACACCAATCAGGTCACCAAGAGTAAGTCCACGGTCACATATTAAGCCTGGAATGAGAAACAATGACAAAGAGTTCATGCAACTGTTAATAGGAACAGAACGCAGATAAAAAACAAGACATACTTGAACAATTACCAAACACAACATAGTTTCACAAAGTATCAAGTTTGAATATGAAAAGATAGCTAGATATGACCTTATTTACACTACAGGATTTACACAGATGCAGAAACATGTTTCAGAAGTATGTAGACTAAAGGCTGCTTTTTGTAATTTTCTGTACCATCTTGGTAGCTTATTAATAAAGTTTTACCTTATCAAGAAAAAAATATGTAGACTAAATCTAACTCAGGCTTCTGCTAATGCCAGTGTTAAACTCAACTTGGTTAGAGATCAATATGCTTTCAGTTTGATAGCAGACCAACTGTACAGTCACTCAGTAAGTCATATAACAATAAACATGAAATCTAAAAATAAAAACAAAGGGGAAATGACTTGCTAATTGAAAAAAGAAAGATCTTTNCCCCAAAAGAAATCCTCTTCTTGAGAGCAGAAGATGTCAAAAACTCAACAAGTTCACACTAAGAAAAAATGTCGAGCCCTAAATTCTATCCCCCCAATGTCGTACCTATCACCTGTGAGCTATGATGCAAATACAACAACCAATTTTGGTGTCATACTAATATATAGTACAAAACAAATAGTATCAAAAAGCCTTTGAATTATTGGAGATTGTGTAACTTTTGGTTTACGACATAACATTCTGCATTGCTAATTTAAGCTTTGCATAACTAGCACAACATCCAGTTTTCGGCATAAAACTATTGATAACTAATGCAGTGTTTGGTATGTCTTAACCATGCATTACTAACACAACATATGCGAGAATTTATGTATTATTTTATGCATTAAAAAATAGAATAAGAAATACATGTATAAGCATATCTAAAGACAAAAGCCCTCAACAATTGACATAACAATCCTTGTATTATCATTCCCCATATAATAATCCCTACATTATTATTCACCTAACTATCCTTGCATTATAATATTTTTATAACTAGTCTGTGAACCAAACTCATCCCTAATTGTGATACGTGAAGGGGTAGTGCTCTTTGATAATGTGGTGTCAATCTGTCAGGGTAAGCGATAGAAATACCTGGACCTACTTTGCCAACCTAAAACAGAAAGAAACCAAGCAATGCATCATACAGTATCTAAAGGAAGGCTCGTCATAATTCTACCATGAGGAACACAACCAATAGACAATAAATCAGTTTTGCAGGCACTTCAAGGACCAGTCTCTATTCTAAGCTTAAGGTTTGCTACCATAGAACAGCAAGAGGAGAAAAAATATATATCAAGGAACCCGTAAAATATGGATGTAACACGAAATTGTATAACTAGAAGTAACCTTCTATCTGGTGAAATTCAGCAAGATGTGTCTTATCAACTGCTTCATTTCTGAAAACACGATCAATAGAATAGTATTTCTTCGGGGAGAACGGCTTCTGCAATAAGACGTCATACGGATAATTAGAAACCTCACTATGTAGAATATACATGAAATATTGATTCTGGATACGGTAAGCGATTCGGACCTGAGCCAATGCACACAACATTCTTGACGAAACAGCAGTAGTGTGTGTCCGCAAAAGATTCTTGTTTGCTTCCTCTCTTTTCCAATCACACCCATATCTAAGCAAGAAACATCATTAAATACTGTACGTGGGTGTCAAAATCTTGACCAACGTGGGTGACACTGAATTCAGGATCGGCAGTATTATAACATACCCCCTAGATTGGTAACCACCAGATTCATGAACTTGTTTTACGCGCTCAACATAATCTTCTGGAAGCATCTTTGTAGTGGAAGGTACTACAAAAGTCAAGCAAATAGTTCATTAGAAGAGTATCAGATGAAGTGGAAATGTAAAGTCAAACTAACCTTTCAAAAAGAATGTATCATGGGAATCACGGGCAGGGTGCTGTTGTGGCTGGAAAAGTGCATCAAAGTTCCAAAAACTGCAAGCATGATCAGCCACATTAATGTAACTTCTTTACTGGCCTAAGACAAAAAGTAATTCTTGAATTTTTTACAGGGAAGAAAATGACAGTGCACAAACCACCACTAATTATATATCAGAGAAAAATCACATGTAAATGATATACCGCGTAAGATGGCAAGTGAACTTTAAGGTTTAGCATCAATTTAAGCTTGAAAGGTCTTTTTCCTAAAGGAGTTTGAGCTTGAAAGCTCATAAGCGTTCAGTAGCGATAGTTTACCATCTATGTTCAACAAATTTGATTGTTCACCAACAGAAGCTCATGAATGTTAAAAATGAAAAAATAGTACCAGTATTTGGCAAATGCTTTACAGCAGAAAAAGATAAGGTACTTTGAGACTGCATTATGTACTAGGAACTTTAGCAAAGAAAATGCAATAGCCAAAACAAGTATTTCTAATTGAGAATAACGTAGGATATTTTATTCAAATATTTACATATCAACCTCTTAACTAGAGCCATGCGAAGAAAATGTCAGTCGGCTCCATTTATTTGGACAAAAGGAAAAATCACCTAACCCCCTTTTCTTTGGGAATTCTATCTATTCCATCGATTATGACAGGCTCACTTGTATTAGGAAAAAACTAACAGAGGATAATAGCTTACCTGCTTTCGACATAATTATTTGTTGGCATCTCCTCAAACCTGCAATCATAGTCCACAACAAAGAATTCCCAAATAAATAACTGAATATATATACATCGACACATTCATCCACACACATATTCATGCATATATGCAGCCTCCACATATAGACACGGGAAAAAGGTCATTTAGCCCTACCCCATATTAAGAAAAACCATTTGTATCTGCCGCCTAACCTGCAACAAGATGGTATAATTTTATTAACACATGAGGGAATGCAATCTGGCCTCAGTTAGTTAACAGAACAAAATTAATTTAAACAAACAATAAAGAGAAATGGAACCAAAAAACATGCCTTGAGCAATGGATGAAGATAGCCACCTTCAACTGGCTGACCTTTAGCACTGAAGTTGTACTCTTTAAATTCCAATTCCTTCCAGTCCCCCCTTCAAAGGAACAAGCAATTAGAACTAAAACAATTTTTATTTTCTCAAGTGGAACCTTACACTCTTTAAGTAAACTATGATATGTTACATTAGCATTGGGGTTTATATAGGTCATGGTACAATTAGCCTATGCCTAGACCTACATACAAAAAAAAAAATGGCTATTGCTCCGGCCGGGTACTGGGCTATTATATAAGGCAAATAGGGTTCAGCGCAAGACCCATCACCCACCCAGCCTTGGCAATTGATACAAATTCCCTATTCAGGCATATTCAGAAGCTTTTGGTTTGCAAACTGTCACATTCAAAAATACTAGTTTTTCCAATAATTTAACTAGAGTTGAACGCATAACTGAAGAGACCTAGTCATCTTTTTATGAGGCAAATCCTCTCCTATTGACACCTGTACTAAAATAAATAAGAAAAGGAAATAAAATTCAGTCCAAGTTCCAAGGCACACATTTTTTATCTCGAGAAGCAACCAAAAATCAACCGTCATCGAGAAAAACAACTCCATCAGTTAATTTATTAAACATTTACTAAAAGCAACTTCCAAATAATATCTATTCTTCCCAGAGAAAATAAGTCAGAAAGTTACCTCTGTAAGTTTTCCCGAGTGAGATCAGTAGCTGCTCTTTTCCTTTTAGGAGCATAATTAGGACCTTTTCTTACTGAGTGTCCTTTCCAAACCCTAATTGTAAAAATCAAATGCATAGTTAGGACCTTTTAGTGCATACTTAAGAACCAGCATTTTACCACGTATTAGGAAAATTGTAAAAAATCAAGTGCTGGCGAAAGGAATTTGAAGGGTAGATAATTACTGCTGAGTTATTAGTTTTCTTCGCTTTAGAGCATCAATATCCTCCTGATTGACAGCCTGTAATGCATTGCTTGTTAAAGACAAATTGATTAACTATGACATAGTCAACTAGCGACAAAACCATAACTGGCTTGCTGGGCGGGAGGAGAGACAATAGTAAATATGAAGGGCGAGTAAAAGGTGAAGGTTGGGGATAAGATGATCGCTGAATACAGATTTATATACCTCGCCATTTTGTATCCGCAAGAGCAAATCTTTAACTTTGTCATCAGCATGTTGGACCTACATGAAGTTAACAAATAGACTAAAGAGTGGATCCCTGTAAAAAGTATTAAAAGAAGAACATGTAGATGTCAACTTCACTTGCTGCCTCTGCATTAAAGTTCACAGAGACCTTAATCAACAGATAAGGAAAGAAACAGTAAAACAAAAGAGCAACGTGCTATAGATGATCTAGATGGCAAACAATAAAGAGGAATAAACATAGAAGGAGAAATAGAAAATTTCAGGAACCACCACAAGGGAAGTTGAGGGACAGCTACTGAGCTACAGTTTAATAGCGCTGAATGTATGCTAGCAATGGCGCGTTATTATCGCAAAAGAACTGGTATTAAGCAAGTAATATTTTTCAGGCCTTCGTAATCATTGTGAGGCATGAGGGGTAAAATTCCTGTTTATTTGGCCATCCTAAGCAAGCGCCACAGGGGACCAAGGAATAGATAAATTGTTATTCNGCAGAAGGGATAGTCCATTTACAGAAAGATGTTTTCTAGTGGAAGGGTCAGCAGCACTCACATACACTTCCAATCATTTAGCTAAGTAATGGCACCACTTGGGTCCTAATCTTCAGGAAGATTGTAGAGATACATTTTTGCAATTACAAGCTCAAGGGGATGAACTCTAGTAGATTATGATGGGGTTTAAAACTTTAAGTAGAGGTGAGGTTGAAATTCATCTTTTTGGGATAAAGTAAGGTAATTTTATTAATGTATAGTCACAAGAAGCTATTGCAGAGGTGGAAAGGTTCAATATATGATCCCAACAGGTGAGGTTGAAAATAAAATTAAAGTTGCAAGAGAGCAACACTACTGCTACCTATGAAAATGAAGAGTGTGGACGAGTTTACCGGTTGAGAAGCAGAGACGAACAACTCACTACTCTGAATGAGAGATGAGCAAGCAACAAAGAAGGAAAGATCAAACAAGGGGATAAACTTTTGCTACCGAGAGATAGAAACTTTTTGTTTTGGGGCAAGGGTTGGAACCAAGATACAGTTCTTTATCAAGAACAAAGGTACAGTTTTTATTCCAACAAACAAAATGTAGTCACAACAATAATGAGATTATAGAAATATAGGGGAGGATGAGGAAAAGTACACTCTTGTGTGTTTGTTTATTGTACCTTCCTTGAAACATGAGTCTTCGCCATCTCCACCCACTTGTTCTTTATAGCTTGCTGGCAACCAATTTTAAAAACTGCAGGATCCAACTTTTTCTGCATCCAGATATCACATTTAGTCAAGAGGAGTTCCACTAAACAATGAACACACATACCAAAAAAATGTAGTTTCATGAATCTTTCTTTAAATTATTACAACTTCCCTTTCTTTTCTTTCTTTTAGAATTTTCGTTTTTTGTCTGTTATAATTCTGTTCTGTTTGATATTTAAAATGGATCATGAAAATCACTTAGTAAAATAACGTAATCCATTCTTTAACGTAAAATGAACAAGCAACTAAAAACCAAGAATAACCTGCAACTCCTCGCGTGCAATTCCCTTGGGTGGTACTGCTGAGAAAAGCTGAAATTCCGGAGAACCTACAGCAGCATAGGTCTTCCCCTCTTCAGTAAGCACCCATCTCTCTCTCCTAATATCCTGCACACATTCAATAAATTCAAACATGTTTCACATTCATGAAAGCTATTTCCCGATGTTTCACAGAGATGTTATACATAAACGGACAATTCACAAAACAACCTAATTCATTCTATTCAAAGTGTAGGATAAACAATAAAATAAACTTTTTCCTCAACTTGCCCGTGGTCCAGGGGATGTCAGCTATCTAATAACTTTACAATAATTAAATCAACAGGATTTTCTCTTTTCTATTCAAATTTGAATATGCCAATGAAAATTTTGAGAACTGGGGATAAATCAGGCCCAAAACAGAACAGAAATTCAACAAGTTTGGCATTGAGGCATAGTTATTGTTGCAATAAATGCCCGCTAAACAAAGAAATTATTAAGCATACATCGTCAAATATTGAAATTGAAAGAAGAAGAAAATGCATATGAAAGGCAGAAAAACTAAGCACCTGAGCATCAACAAGTCTAAACCCATTGAGGCTGCGAATGACATTGACAATCTCATCATGAGCGAAGCCATGTTCGTCGGCGAATTTTCCACTATCAGAAATCTCATCATTCTTCTGAAGAAAAGCAAGAATGGCGTCTTCGGCCATATTGTCTCTGTAGGGTTTTGCTGTCTTTCTATCCTTGTCCCCAGCAGCAGTTCTGCAGTTGTGCAGTGAAGTGGGCGTTATAAAGTGATACCGCATGTGTTGTAGTTTAAAATATTTCTTTTTTTCTTTGTTCCAAAAACAACAATGTCTTTCTAAATTTCATAGCCTCTCTCTAAATTTGATAAGTTTAACTTAAACTTACAATTCTATTTTTATAATTACACAAATACTTAAATACCATTTTTAACTTGTTTAGAATCACAAATTTCAAAATTCTACATTTTTTCTTAAACTTAATGCACAGTCAAATAGATTTACATAAATTGGACGGGAGGAAATATTCCTTTTTACAATTGGGTCCCACAACCTAACGGAAGTTAAAATAGGGTGTTTTGATTTTTGAATGTGTTGTTTCTTATTTTGTTCCCCGATCCTTTTTGGGTGTACTAAAAATTTGAAATTGCTATAAATAGGATTGTATTTAAGTTGAATATCAATATTTCAGAGATTCTAGGTATTGTTACTGTTTGACTCAAAAAATATTAAAATCTTTTTGAACAAATCAATCAAGGATGAAGGGGTAAATCCTAGTTAAAGATAATTAACTCTAGATCCAAGATGAATAATATGAATAGAAAAAACATAACCGAGTATAAATATTAGTCGTGATTATGGCCAGATTTAATGGCATAAAAAAAGATGCATTAAGTAACATTAAATGGCAATAAAATGTAAATAAAGAAAAAAATTCTCCAAATCTTGAGTGGAGCGGATCCTATTTCATTTGATAAAAACGAATGATAACAGATACAAGAACCTTAAGACCCTTTTTAGATCTGATGAAGGTCTCGGATCACAAATCCTCTAATTTCTTTAAAGAGGTATGTTTACATATTTTTTAGAGGGAGAGAGAGCCCGCCCCCTTTTTGGAAGTCCTCTCTTCCTATTTATAAGAGGTATCCATAGAAAATCCTAGAAAAGTACAATTAGAGGGAATTCCCTTTGAGAATTCCAAAGCAAACTAGCTATTTCATCACTGTCTGACCTTGACCTTATTGATGACTGTCCGACCTCGACCTGTCCGACCTCGGCTATTGATGATTGTTCGACCTCGGCTATTGGTGACTGTCCGACCTCGGCTATTGATGACTGTCTGACCTCGGCCTATCCGACCTCAGCTATTGATGACTGTCCGACCTCGACCTTATATCTCTCCGTGTCGAATTTCTCTGATCTAGTTTTGACCCATATAGTTACTTGGTGGCTAAGTTAATTTTTCTCTATAAATAAAGGGTTTCTATTCTATTGTCATTCATCCCAAATTAACAAGAATTCTCTTTCTCTACTCTTCTCTATAATACTATTCTTTTCCTTTATTGTTTTATAACACCTTATCAGCACGAGACTCTAACTAATTGAGTAAAGCTTTGGGATTGAGCATAATGATTATCAATTGTTCCATAAACTTCCTCATGATTAAATTCTAAATTTAAGGTAAGTATTTTACTTTATTTTTCTCTTTCAAATTCTTGAAATTCTATAATTTGATTTTAAATACAAGAAAAGACAATAAATTTTGATAGTAACTCTAATAGAGTTTGTAAGAAATTATAACCACCCGAAGTGATAAAATTTCAATGTCTTGTCATGATCAAATTCATGTATGATTATGAGCACAAAAAGTGAAAACTCGTCCCATTGAATTTGATTCATTCTCATTCCCTTAAGAGCACGTGTTAGCAATATGTGATAAGCCTGAAAGAAGACATAATTATTACCGTAAAGGTATCAATGAATGTGGATGTGGCAATAGACGAAATTATAATCGTCATCATTTTGGTAACGAGAATAATAAGAGTTCTCAAAATAATCCTTTACTCTGTGAGAGTAATATTTGTCATCGATTTAACATGAGATTTTGTAAATCACATACATATGATTATGGTCCATTCATGATGTGAATGTGATGACATGTGAATTATGAATATATATTCATTCTCGAAAGAATATGAACGTGATATTGGTAGTGAATATGTCACACTTACCTCTAGAAAGAGGTTTGAGATGAAATACAAAAATAATTTCATTATTATGACATGAATGGTCATTGATCATGTACCTATTGTGATTAGCCAAAAAAATTATGGCAATACGATTATTACATGGCAAAAGTAATAGAAGCAACATGCCACGACCCGTGCAAATCCATGCACCAATAACAACAATCCAAATGTACTCAATCATGAAAATGACTCAAACAAGAGAATTGTCAACCAATGCGCAATCAATCGTGCAACACCCGAATACCCATCTCACTCAATTCCACTATAAAGCCCAAGTGGAACCATATCATTTGTGCATATAACCAACGAATCACAATCTCGCGTAGCCTATAAGAGTAGCTCATAAATAATCGCAGAACACGAATAAGCTCAACGACAACTGAATGGCACCTCCCTCGACCATAGCAGTTCGGGGGCAACATCTCCGACTCGATGCAAAATACGCATCCATATCAGGCCTACCAATGAACCTCAAACTAACTCTAGTCACCCACCATAAATAAATAACTTTTCGAAAGTTCACAAGGACCAAATCATAGCACATACTATCATCTGACTAGCTTTGCCCTCATCTTCACTATCCACAACCACGAAACAACCTGCTTATGAGAACTCCCAGTCTCCAAATCCATAGAACATACGAATCACCACCTCCCATTTCAACTCCACCGCATGAATGCTCGCACTTCTCCAATTACACGATCATCTTGCGAGGAATAACTCTAAAATTCTTCTATGTCACAAGGCAGAAAGTTGAACTCCAGCATACGGTCAATTAAGAAAGTGCCGCAATACCAATAAAGTATCCATAGCTCAAACACATCGCTCTTTCTGAAATGTATACCCTCATCTAGCCATACCAATTAGTAATAACATTTACCTAGTCATCTGAAACTGTCAATGATGCCTAAGGATTTATGACATCCCCTTTAGACTGAACCGCAACCTTACATATGCAAATCTCAATCCCACACAACATACCGCATATTCCATGCCATCCTATGATAATTATAAGAAGTTTAAAATCCACTCCGAGTCACAAGCAACTACGTACTCAACTAGTCAAGAACTTTCCATTTGATCTCACCTATGAGAAAATCACTATGCATCACATGATCCTCTCGCCAGTAGAAAGTATACATCTCTAACCGTGGTAGAAACCATTAATGAACTCTCCGAACCCCATTTGTACAAAACCAAACAGTCAGGACTGAATCCTTTTGACTGAACTAAGCTACGCAGGTAGCTAAAAACCCAAGAGCATTGCCACGAAATACGTGTAGAAATCATTACCTCATAAGCACCTAGAAAACTAATCATATCCCTTACCATACCGATCCAACCCACTATCAAGTTGTCCTATTTATCCGATTTCCTTTTGAATTACCTTCAAATTGATACTTCTCCTTGCCATAATACCACAAATCCTCAACCCAGACTCACCACGCGGAACCGATATACGCGGTCTACAATAATAGTATTGCCCATAAGGATAGATACACGAACAAATGAAACAAGAGACTCGCAGGGCAGATCCAAATAACGAGCAAAATATGATGACACATATGAAAAAGTTGAACCAGGATCAAATAATACAGAGGCATCCATGTGGGAAACTAAGACAATACTTGTGATCACAACATCTGAAGCAATAGCATCTGATCCGGCAGGGAGTGCATAGAAACGGGCCTGACCGCTACCTGGTCGGCCTCCCCATCTAGGGCGACCCCTAGCCGACTGACCTCCACCCCAAGCTGGTTGGGCAGGTGAGGAAGTAACTAGTGCTAAAGCCGAATGCTGACTTCTCTGCCGGGGTGAACCTCTCACGAGGTGGGGACAGAATCTCTTGATATGACCCACATCTCCACACTTAAAGCACATCTCTCGGCAAATGGCGGTGGGGACTGAAGGGAGCCCCGAGCATCGGAATACCCACTAGTAGAACCAGACATAGATGAGCCCTGAACTGATGGTGCTTGAGTCGAACTCTGAGCTGGAAGGGCACTAAGGGACGAATAACTCTATTGAGAACTATGTAACCCATGGTCAGATGATGCACCACGGTGAGATGGACGAGCCATTTGAGCATGTATAAAATAATGACCCCTATCATGGTGAGACTGACCTCTAGAAGGAATGCCACCAAAACTACTAGATCCATGAGGCCTCTTGGCCTCCCTCTCTACTCGCTCCTAGTGGCAAGCCGACTCTATCTCCGAGCAATGTCAACAACCTCCTCAAAAGAAGCACCAGTCACCCTCTCTCTAGTCAGAAAAATCTGTAGCTGATAAGTGAGGCCATCAATGAACCTCTTGATCCTCTCCCTATCTGTGGGAACCAGCCAGATAGCATGATGGGCCAGCTCGGAGAATCTCATCTCATATTGTGTCACAGTCATATCCTCCTGATGCAACTGCTCGAACTGCCAGCATAGCTCCTATCTGCGGGACTGCGGTACATACTTCTCTAGGAAGAGAATGGAGAACTGATGTCAGGTAAGGGGCGCTGCACTAACAAGCCTACGCCTCTCATACGTCTCCCACCAAGCGAAGGCAGCTCCAGGGAACTGAAAAGTAGTGAACGAGACCTCACTGGTCTCCAGAATACTCATTGTACGAATAATTCTTAATTATGCAGGTAATTAATTATTGAATTAGTGGAGAATTACCAAGTTAATTAAGAAAATTGATAATTAATTAAGACATTGTTGGATAAGACCCCACAAATGTGGCAGCAAACCTTGCCAATTGATGACTCTTAAAGTCACTTGATAAAGTGTCATCTTGAAAGCTTATTCATCACCTAAGTGGGCCCCACACCCACTAAGGTATAAAACCTCTAATTCATTAAGAGAGATGGATAAAAAATTCAGCAAGGTAATAATCTTAAGCAAAATTTCATACGAAATTATACTGCATAATAGCAACGGGATTTTTCGATTCTAAGGGAGTGCGGTGCAATCCTTCTAGAGAGTATCATACAGATTTCCCCCTACCTCGATCTGCTG